GTGATAACTGCTACACTATGAAAACCCATAGTCAGGATCTTTTTGGAAAAGGTAAGGGGTGGGGATGTACTCCAGAGCTGACTGGCCTTTTAGCTCTTCTGGGAGAATATAGCTGATTCTCCTGAGGCTAGTGAGAGTGCAGTGGGAGGACAGTCTGCTCTGCTCCTCCCTCCCTTTTTCCTGTTTGTCTCTCTTTTTTTTTGAGACAAGGTCTCACTAGGTAGTTCAGGCTGACCTTGAACTCACAGCAGTCCTCTTGCCTCAACCTCCTGAGTGCTGGGATTAGGGGTCTGTGCCACCACTCCTGGCAGAAGTCTAGAAATTTTTAACATCCCCTGGAGATCTGATAGTGATTTAATTCTGCTTTATCCTAGAATTCCATTGTTTTGTTTACCCTTAACAACTTAGACTTAGTTTTGGTTTGTAATGTGAGGCCAAGGCTTCAACCCATTTCCTCAAGCAAAGAGCTCAGGCAAGCAGCACTACTTGGTTCAGACTATGAACCATCGGGACTATGTAGCCCAGGCTGATCTCATTTTCACATCGATCCCCCTGCCTCAGCCTCCTGAGTGCTGGGATTACAGGTGTGTACCACCACGCCTGGCTTCCTGCTTCTCATATTTTATACCTACACTTTACAGATGAGGTAAATGAGGCTTAGAGAAACCAAGCGGCTTGTCCAAAGTCACAAGGTCAGAACAAGGTGGGGGGAGCTGGAGTTTCAGTCCAGTTTGTTAGATACTAATGGCCTGCCTTTAACTGCTGCCTGTTCCATAACCTTGTGCTGTCACTCCGTAGGGGAGGAACAGTATGGCAAGGAGGGAGGGCAAGAGCTTCTCCAACAGAAGTCCACATGGGTTTCGGGGGCAGGCTACATCCCACCCCATAGAGACCCCCGAAGAGAGTGTTTCCAGGTCATTTTAACCATCCCTGCCCCCAGCTGGGATAGCTCCTCAGCAGGCAGAGCTCAAGGAGAATCTCTGTGTATAGCGTGCCCTGGGGAGGGAGGTTGTTCGATGTTTAGATTCCAGTTGAAAGGTCAAGAGACTGAGTTTTGAGTCCAAACAAACCTGTATAAAGAGATGTAATCATTATTGCCACTTAAGACAAGGTCTGGGCAGTGGTTTCAGCATGTTGTGGGCCCAGTGCCCTTTGCTATGTAGCTGTCCTTGGCCATGAGGACAAACATGGCATCCTCTTTCCTGTCTTATAAGGAGGTAAGAATCAGGCAGTGAGGCCTAAGAGAATTTAGGCTTTGGGCTCAGCTCTAAGTGTTGCCTCCCCTTTCTGTTGGACTGTGAGATGTGCATGCTTCCGCAGCAGGCAGGGCTGCAGAGCTGTGACAGAATTGGGTTCCTTTGGTGAGGCCAGGAGGCCTCCCACCCGTCACTGCCCTTGGCACTGGGGCTGGCAGCTGAGCGCAGACCACGCGTTCCAGCAGACAGCCAACGCCCCGCTTATGAGCTAATGTTCTCTTTGCCCATATATACAGCACCCAAAAAATCATATGAGATGGCTTCTCTTAAAGGTATTTTTTATTTATTTATTTATTTTTTTGCTTTTTGAGACAGGGTCTTCCTATGCAGTTCAGGCTAGCATTGAGCTCACTTTGTAGCCTAGGCTGGCCTCAAACTCACAACAATCCTCCTGCCTCAGCCTCCCAAGTGCTGGGATTACAGGTGTGCGCCACCACGCCCAGCTCTTAAAGGTATTTGATTGTATTCCGAAGTTCATTAATTTTCTGGCTTGTTGGTGCTTCTTCAGATTAAACAAAAAGTGACCATGACTTTTTTCCCTTATAATTTGCCTCTTTCTACAGGAGATTTCAGGTAATTTACAACAAAAATTGTGTATCTGAAATGTTTGGGACTAGAAAAAAATGTTTGGATTTTGAAACATTTGCATATACAAAATGAGATATTTGGGGGAGGGGACCCAAATCTAAACAAGATATTTGCTGTTGTTTTATATATACCTATACACATAGCCTACAGGTATTTCACATATTTTTAGTGTGTCTGCTTTCCTTTCTTTTCTTTTCTTTTTTTTTTTTTTTGTGATACTGAGGATTGAACTCAGGGCCTTGCGCATGCAAGGCAAGAGCTCTACCACTGAGCCACATCCCCAGTCCTTGTTCTGTCTTTATTTCATTTTTTTGTTTGTTTGTTTGTCTCCAGTACCGGGGATCAAACTCACAACCTTGCGCTTGCTGGGCAGGCACTATGCCACTGAGCTAAATCCCCAGCCCCTGATTTTTTTTTTTTTTCTTTTTTGGCTGTTCCAGGGATAGAACCCAGGGCCTTTGCACTGAGCTAAATCTTCATCCCTCCTTATATTTTGGGACAAAGTATTGCTAAGTCACTGAGTTGCCCATTCTGGCCCAGAACTTGCAGCAGTCCTCCTGCCTCAGCCTCCTGCGTGCTGGGATTACAAGTGTGTGCCACCATGCCCAGCCTGTGGTTTACTTTTTAAAGCAGGATGGTACAGATTAGAAAGCAAACAAAAAAGGGCCCAGATCTTCCTGCTCAGAAACTCCATTAACACACTATAAATTGAAGTGATTCCTCTGTCAAGTTAAAATACTCAAAGTATATATAGGAAAAACTGAGTCAGGTGTGGTGGGACACAGCTATATTCCCAGCATTCTAGAGGATGAAGCAGGAAAATTCCAAATTCAAGCCCAGGCGAGGCAAATTAGTGATTTAGAGAGGCCTTGTCTAAAAATAAAAAGGGCTGGGGATGTAGCTTAGTGCAAAACCTTTGGGTTTGTTCAATCCCCAGTTCAAAAAAGAAAAAGAAATGAAGGAAGACAGACAGACAGACAGACAGACAGGTCCAGTCTTCTCTCCCAAAGTCCCCACTGTGCACAGCTCCGTGGGGTGTCATCTGTATCAAAGTTGGACACCCAGAAACCCTACCCCTCCCTTTCCCCCCCCAATAATCTCCATTAACAATTTAAAGCTGTTTCTGAAATTATCTCTTTTAGCTGTCAAACTGGAGGAGTGCGGACACTGATGGATGAGGGATGGAAGTTAGACATCCAGCAGGACTTCCCAGCAGGAAGGGAAAATTGAGAAGAAAGCTAAAAGGGAAGAGGGTCTTGAGCATGGAGGGGTGGGGCCTGACTGCCGCAGGGCAGGGTGTAGGTTGGACTTTTGTCTGACCAGCTGGAAGGGACTGAGGGACAGGACGAATGAGTAGGGGCACAGAGAGAGTAAATTAGAGCAGAAGGTTCTAATCCCTTGCCTGACATGGGTGCAGCAGGGATAGTCTGGGTCCCACTGCCAAGCTGACCAGCTCCGTGCAGGTGGCTTGCAGCTGGGAGGCCCTACCATGCCTGGGGAGTTTTATAGGCCTGGCCCCCGCTCAGGGCGGCCCTGGCTGGTGAGAGCTAGGGCACCAGCAGGGTGGCTGTTTGGTTTATGAGTCAGGTGTAGCCAGAGCAGCCCAATGCCCTCCCCATACCCCTGCAGGCTTCCAGGACGTGCACACCATGGTCTTCCTCGGCTTCGGCTTCCTCATGGTCTTCCTGCAGCGCTACGGCTTCAGCAGCGTGGGCTTCACCTTCCTCCTGGCCGCCTTTGCCCTGCAGTGGTCCACACTGGTCCAGGGTTTCCTCCACTCATTCCACGGTGGCCACATCCACGTCGGCGTGGAGAGGTGGGCGCCAGAGTCCTCCCTGACCCTCCCCCCGGGTCTGCCGGGAGGCCCTGTCGGAGGGTCCTGGCTGGAACCTGTCCTTCGAGTCTGCTTCCTGACCCATTGTTGACCCATCCACTGAGGTCGTTGGTGCCCTACCCAGTCTGGTGGCCTGACTTCTCCCATCCTCAGCCCCCACACTTGGTCCTACGCCTCACTTCTCTAGGGCCCCCGTCATCTAGAGCTCTTGGGTGCTAAGAAAGTGTGGTGGGAAGGGCAGAGTGTAGAGCAGCTCTCCGTGCAGGTCCTGGTCCTTCCATGTACTGTGAGCTTTGTCAGCCAGGAAGGATTGGGATAGCCTATACAACCTCAGGGAAGAGATGGCTCCTGACCTCCCCCCCCCCGCCCTTCCCCGGGTGCCCATTTCATGCCTGGCGGAAGCCCGGAGCCACTTCCCGTCCCTCCCCTTCTCTCCTCACTGACCTCAGCATGATCAACGCTGACTTCTGCGCCGGAGCCCTGCTCATCTCCTTCGGTGCCGTCCTGGGCAAGACTGGGCCTGTGCAGCTGTTGCTCATGGCCTTGTTGGAGGTGGTGCTGTTTGGCATCAACGAGTTTGTGCTGCTCGATCTCTTGGGGGTGAGAGTCTGCACAGGGCTGGGTGTGGGTGTGCAGGGCGGCTGGGAGGAGGCTCTGAGGTGGGTGAGCTGTGGGCAGGGACAGGGCTGCCTCCTCCTGAGCTGCACCTTCCCAGGTGAAAGATGCTGGCGGCTCAATGACCATCCACACGTTCGGTGCCTACTTCAGGCTGGTCCTCTCCTGGGTCCTCTACAGGCCCCGGCTGGAGAAGAGCAAGCACCGCCAGAGCTCCATCTACCATTCAGACCTTTTTGCCATGATTGGTGAGGCCTAAGGAGGGGGAGCGACATAGGGCACTGGTTCCAGATTCCTTGCATCTGGACAGGGGGTCTCAGGGTGCTGCCTACCATCCTTGGGGTTCTGGGTGGGAACAATCTTCCCATTGATTCTGTTTTTGTTTTTTGTTTTTGTCTTTTTGAGACATGGTCTCACTATGCAGTTCAGGCTGGCCTTGAGCTCACTTTGTAGCCCAGGCTGGCCTCGAACTTGCAAAGATCCTCCTGCCTCAGCCTCCCGAGTGCTGGGATTACAGGCGCACACGACCACGCCTGGCTTCCCATTGATTCTGCTCCCAGAGCCCTGAGGTCTGCACTCATCATGCTGAGCCCTTTGAACTCATCTCTGGGCTACACACAGGCCTCTGATCCATTCCCAGTGGTTTTTCTGAACCCACCTCATTCCTGTTTAAGACCTTCCGGGGGCCCTAGGACCCTTGCGCAAGAAACCAGAGCCTCATCCTGGGCACTGCCCACCCCCTGTCCTCCCACTCACTCACCCTTCCTGCACACTCCAGCCCGACTTGGTCTGGGTCAGACCTTCTACTCCAGCCTGCCCAGCGGCTGCCTTCTCCAGGGTCCCAGCAGTCCCTGCACTCTTAAGCAGGAAAGGAGGGGTCTTGGTCACCAGGGAGCAGCAGGGTTTGACCTTGACCCGCAGCTTCTCCTAAGCAACTCCATCTCCTCGGAAGGGGATCCATATGATTTTTCATAGAATGTCCTGACTTGGGACTGCAGTGCCTCTTCTTGCATTAAAAAGACCACTTTTGTATTTCTTACTAACCTCTGGTTTGTCATGAAAGTTGAGGCTTCTTTGCCCATAAGAGCCAGACAAGCTTGGCTTGAAGCCCAAAGGCTGCCCCGAGCTTTCCACGCATTCCTGGGAAACTTCTGAGGTCTCCTCTGCCTCCTGGCCCCCGGTCTGTTGGGTGTAGGTCACCCAGGCAGGAACTCAACCTTTGCTCCTCTCTCCCCAAACCCTCCCCAGAGAGACTAAGTATGCGAGTGTGGTAGATCTTACCCAGACAGTGGGGTCCCAGGAGGTCACACCCAATGGGCCACTCAGGACTAAGGAGCAGTCAGTCCTTAAGTCTTCTGCATTGCTGGCTCACCCGACAGGCCCCCCAGCCTTCTCCTTTTCCCTTGTCCCTGACTTCCTGTCCCCCTGGAATTGGCTTGTGACCCTCACAGGCAGGTGGAATGCAGAGGTGGTCCAGGCTACACAGTACACCATGGACAGGCCTCTCTAAGAGGTGGTCAGAGTTATAAACAAATTGTTTTCAGGTATACACCAAGTACCTATCATAATGCCTAGTGTGTGTGGCCTTTGTCTTTTACCCTTTTCTCTTTCTCTCTCTCTCTCTCTTTTTTCTTTCCTTTTTCTTTTTTATTTTTGAGACAAGATCTTACTGTGTAGTTCAGGCTGGGATTGAATTCACTATGTAGCCCAGGCTGGCCTCTAACTTGTGGTGATCCTCCTGCCTCTGCCTTCTGAGTGCTGGAATTACAGGTGTGTGCCACCACACCTGGCTAGCCTTTCCTTTTCTGATACTTTATGAAAACCCTGATGCCGCGGTTCTCCGAGTCCTCCCTTTGTGCCAGTGCCCTTTCATAGCTGCCATTGCTGAGCAGTCAGCACCTTTGAGGATATGGACGATGGACCTGAGGGCATCGCCTCCTTCAATCCCCCTTCTCGAGGAGGTGTCATTTTCAGTCCCACTTCACAGACAGGAAGCCAAGCCCGGGGAGAGCAGAGGGGTTCTTTGCATCGCACACCTCGAACCTCTCACTGCCTGGCTGCCCACCATTCAGGGACCATCTTCCTGTGGATCTTCTGGCCTAGCTTCAATTCTGCGCCCACGTCACTGGGGGACACGCAGCACCGGACAGCCCTCAACACCTACTACTCCCTGACCGCCAGTACGCTCAGCACCTTTGCCCTGTCGGCACTTGTCAGCGGGGACGGGCGGCTCCACATGGTACGTGGAGGAGCCGTGGGGAGGCAGAGGGACAGCCTGGCGGAGGAGAGGTCTGATGTTCTGCACGGAAGTCTCCAGGGAAACAAGCCCCAGGGCCTCCATCTGCCCTGGCAGTGGTGGAGTAGAGCAGGAGGAGACGGTATGGAAGCAGGGAAGTTAGAGGTTAGGTGGCAGAAGGAGACTTCTGGAAGCAGTAGGTGTCACTATGGTGAGTGGCTTCGGGTTGGGTGTGGGTGTGAGGGTTGGAAAGGGGCTCCAAGGCCTGACCCTTCCCTGTGCCCTTAGGCCCACATCCAGAATGCTGCTCTGGCCGGAGGGGTTATGGTGGGGACAGCAGGTGAAATGATGCTGACGCCCTTTGGGGCCCTGGCAGCTGGCTTCTTGGCTGGGACAGTCTCCACGCTGGGGTACAAGTTCTTCACGGTACAGATGCCTCTTTGGCCCTGAGCAGAACATGGAGTTGCTTTCCTCCCCAGTCTCCACAGACCCATGGTGGGGCAGGAGAGGACACCTGAACCTGATTCTCCATCCTATCCTCCAGCCCAGCCTTGAGTCCAAATTCAAAGTCCAAGACACTTGTGGGGTCCACAACCTCCACGGAATGCCAGGGGTCCTAGGGGCCCTCCTGGGGGTCCTTGTGACTGTACTGGCCACTCACGAAGCTTACGGTGATGGGTGAGTTTTCCCCTAACCCACACAGCAGTCATTATTGTTCTGGAATGGCTTCTGTCATGCTCTTTTGTGCATTGTCTATTTTCACCCACCCACTCATCCATCCAACCATCCATCCATCCATCCATCCATCTGTCTGTCTGTCTGTCCTTTCATGTGAGCCAGGGAAGCTGGAGAGAACAAGATGATCTCAGGGACTGCCCTCCTGGTCAAGCACAGCAGAAGGTCACTGAACAAATGATTTCAGGAGTGTTGAGTGTTACGAAAGGGTAGTAAGAGATAATGATCCTTGGGATCTGTTTTGGGAATTCAGGGCTCATAGGAGGAGGGCAGAAGGGCCCTTCAAACTGAGACTTGAGAAGTGTGTGGTGGGGCTGGGGCTGCAGCTCAGTGGTGGAGTGGTGTCTGCTGGCCCAGGAGGGGAGGGTGTCCCCGTGTGGCCTGCAAAACAAAATCCCAAGGGCTTGGGCAAAGGCTGCCTGGAGACTCTTCTGGCTGCTGGGTGTCCACTGGTATGAGTGCTGTACAGTGACCAGCCCAAGCCCCTGCCCATCCTTGCCCTTCCAACCCCCACTCCTGGTCCCACGATCTGCTCTCCCTACAGCCTGGAGGACGTGTTTCCACTGATAGCTGAGGGTCAGCGCAGCACCACGTCACAGGCCGTGCACCAGCTCTTTGGGCTGTTTGTCACACTGGCGTTTGCTTTTGTGGGTGGGAGTCTTGTTGGTGAGTGACCTTGGGTGGGAGCGGGGGTGTTGCTGGAGCTCTAAGGAGAGAAGAACATAGAGAGGGGGGTTCTTTGGAGGAGGGGCCTGGGATCCTATGCCCCTGGCATCAATTCCTTTGCTCACTCATGGATTTGTTGTACCAGTATTACCTTGTACCAGAGGAAGGACAGACTAAGGAGCTGGAACACACTCCTTGGGGAGGAGAGGTGCAAGTGGATGCTTGCTGCCTCCTGGCCCAGGCAGGCTGGGGCACTGGCTTTGGGCTGCATGGGTCCATCTCCTCTTGGCTGGTCCATCTCCTCCTCCCTGTGCTGCTCCCTTAAGCCACTAGAGGGCAGCCCAGTCTCAAGCTGAGGCCTGGTAGGGCCGCTGCACAATCAGGCCTCACCTCTAACCTAGCCCAACCCAAAGAGTCAGACTGTCATGTCTTTCAGCCCTGGGCCGGGCAGTCCTTCCTGATGTCTAGCCTTAATACTAAAATCTGATCCAGGATTTCAGAGAGTCTCACCTGCTACTAAAGTTCAACTTACTCATTTAGTAACTTCATTGTATGAGAAATGTTTCCTGTGCCCCTCCTATCTAGGAGGACACAGAAGACTCAGTAGTTGTGGCTCCTGATAGAGTCACAGTTCAATCACCTGCCAACTGTGCAAATGAGAGAGTTACTTAGCATCTCTGAGCTTTGGTTTCTTTGTAACACAGGGATGATATTCATCTTGCAGTGTTGCTGTGATTTCTCAGGAGATCAGTGCTTGTCAAGCACCTGGCACATAGTAGGTGCTCAACACATGGCTGTGGTTCACCTACACTGGGTGTCATGTTAACATCATGCCTCCTGGCCCCTCTGTGGCCTGGGGCACTGGGTGGCAGCCTCCCTGCAGGGGTGAAGGTGACCCCTCACATACCTTCCCTTGCTATGTCTAGGGCTCCTGTTGAAGCTGCCCATACTGGACTCTCCCCCAGACTCCCAGTGCTACGAGGACCAGATTTACTGGGAGGTAAGATGCAGCTAGAGCCCTCCTAGCCCTGGGCTCTTTGACTGTCCCAGCCATGCCACCCTCCTGTGGCCAAACCTGCCTCTTTCCTCATCCGTTCCTCCTCCACTGGCATACACCGCTGTGCTATGGCCTGCAGCTCCCTGGGGCTACCCTCCCGCCCCCTACCTTTCAGGTGCCAGGTGAGCATGAGGATGAAACCCAACGACCTCTGAACATGGAGGAGCCAGACACTCAGGCCTAATGTGCTGCTAGCTCTGCAGAGGACAGCCTGCTTTTAGAAGGCAGTGGAAAGCTGCAGCTTAGCTGTAGAACACTTGCCTAGCGTGCATCAGGACCTGGGTTCGATCCCCAGCACTGCAGCAAGATGATGATGATATTTGGCTTCTTCTACGGGGAATCCCTTTTTAGCTCCCTCATCTCCTGCTTCAAGGAAGAAGCTATGAGCCAGAAGAAGCCACCTGTCCCTAAAATACACCATCCCCCATGGGAAAAGGGTAGAGGACAGGGATGTCACTGCCCTGCCAGCCTGCACATGTGGTGAGAAGGGCCTACAGTGAAGTGCCCGGGGGACTGCCAATCCGTGGGCTCAGTGTCACAGTGACTGTGAAGCCTGAGGCGGGCCCCAGCTGTCTGGGGGTGATAAACACCGTGGTCACCAAGGACTTTGATTCCTTTTTTTTGTGCCCTGGGAACAGGGGTTGTTCTTCGCTCTAACTCACAATATTAGAACCTTGGGGCAAAAAAGGGTGTCAGTGGTGACAAAATCCATCCTCCCTGGGCCTACTGGACTCCCTTTAAGATGCCACATCCAACCAGATGGGCCCTCTCCAGGGACAGGGTGCCCATTCTGGCACAGAAATCCCAGGTGCTCTTCCTAGTTCCCAAACTGCTGCCACCCGGACCCTCAGCTGGGGCAGCTCCTGAGCAGAGCAGAAAGGGGCCCCATGGGCATAAGAAGCTGGAAGCAGCCGTCACCTAGGTCAGAGCTTTCAGTGATAACAAACAGCCAGCTTCTCACCACCACTGACCTAGGTGCTACTTGTCCTGAGGCTGCACAAGGGCAGTGGAAAGTGTCTTCAGGGCAGCCACAGAAGAGGAAGGCTAGTCCAGAGCCTCTTTTGACCTGAAGCCCTTTGACCACCAGAGGGCGCCCTAGACCCAGCAGAGGAAGCTTCTGTCTTCCTGGTTCTACCATTCTTGCTCCTTCACCTAGAATGAAGGTCCTTCCTACAGCATAGTCCCCTCCCTGTCTGCTTTAGTTCTGGTCTTCGGGCATTCCTGCCATAGCCTATTGTAAGCACCCCGAACCTCACTCAACATCAGGCAGATGCCAGGGGTTTCATATCTCTCGTCCCATAAAGAGATCCCTCTATTAGACTAGCGCCCCTTTCCCAATGCTGCAGGCCTGGGCCCCTTGGCCCTCTCCCTTCTTTCCCCCAGGTTTTGACAGGAGCTAAGCAGGACTGCAGACATCTCTCCTCCCAAACCAAGACCATTCAGACCCAGGTGCCCCAGTGCAGCTGGAGAACAGAGTTCGGCTCGTCCAGACGCCAAGCACTGAGGGGCGCAGATGGGGGAAGGAGAGTGCTGAGGGACTGAGTTCTGTTGCGCCATCTCCTGGCACCTGGGGGACTGTGCTCCCTTAGCTCCCTCCTCTGTGTGCCCCCCCCACACACAGACAAGCGTGGTAGATATGGGGGACAGCCTTGTGCTGAGCAAAGGCTGAGGCTAAGATGGCAGAAGTGCTCCCAGACACTGATAGCCCCTGCTGGGAGAGGAGAAAAGCACTCGGAAGAGTCATGTCCACTTCCACCCTGGCCTCAGCTCCCAGCTCTGCCCTCGGGGAGTGACAGCCTACAGACTGCCCCAGCCTCTGAGCTCCTTCAACGCTCCTCTAATGGCAAGATCTGAGTTAAGCACAGGATAGGACTGAGCCCTGCCCAGCCTCTTCTGGGTAGGGAAGTGATGGATATTCATTTTTTCCTGGTGCCAACATTTCACCCTGACCCTCACTCCCTACTACTTGTTCTTTCTTGACAACAATTAAGGCTTTTCTTCCAGACCTGAAGAACTGAGCACCTCCAACCCAGGATGGTTCTTTGTGTGGGGGGCGGCTACCTGTCTCAATCCAGCGAGGCACCTGAAGAAGGGATGATGGAGCCCGCTGATAGAGGGCATTGTCCAGCTAGCTTTCAAGGGACAAAGGCTACAGATCCCATGCTGCAGGCATGTGACACCACATGCCTGTAATCCCAGCACTCGGGAGGCTGAGGCAGAAGGATTACCATAGATTTGAGGCCATCCGAGGCTTCATAGTGAGTTCAAGTCCAGCTTGAATTGCATATTGAGACCCTGTCTCAAAAAAGAAAAAAAAAGGGGGGGAGCTACAGGTCTAGGATGGCTTGCCAAGAGACCTTAGAGAAAGAAGGGACAGGGTGAGGCCTGGCCCAGGAAAGGCAACCCTATGTGTCTTGTAGCCAGACAGTTCCAAGCTCCATCATTCCCGGGAAGCCCACAGTGGCCTGGGCAATGACATTGAGCACCACCACAAGCCTTCACGCCCTGGTCCCATTCTCTGGGGATTCTGCCCAGGGCTGAACTCTTCTAAATCACACTTTGGTTTTCCACTGTTTTTCCTTTCCTTTCCCCCAGCTTTGCCTTAAATGCAGGGTCCTCTGTAGACTGTTCTGTTTCATCCACTTGGGCCACTATTTAAGGCTGGGGTGTAGGGGTGTATCCCACCCCCACATTCCAGTCAAAGAGCTCATGGGGGTGGGAAGACAGGTATCCTTGGAGCCCTAGTGAACAGGGCCTAGACCCTCCCCCTCTTGCCCATAGCCTCTGCTTTAGTACTATTAGTCCCCCACACAGTGGCCCATCCATTCAGGCTGGGTCAACAGGGTGACAATGAACAGGTCAAGGGGATGCCGGGGACAGGGGCCAAAGGAGCTCCTTCCTCCCCTTCAGGACAATGAGGCTGTGCCCCTCCACGACAGCCCCTCTGATCACCACCATTATTACTGTCAATGCAGGACAATCAGACACTTGTCCGCTCATGAACTCTGTCTGTCCAGCCCCAGTGCCTCAGCCCTGGGGACAGTGATGGACGAGGGCACTAGGCTCCTGCTTGCCTCCAGGGGTCAGCTGATGGGGAAGACAGGTTGTGCTGGGGTCAGGGTGGAACCTAGCAAGCCAGAGGCATTGCAGGCAGGCTCCCTGGAAGCAGCCACCGTGTCCACCCAGCACACGTGTGTGTGCATGATGGCAGCAACCCAAGGACATCTGGGTAGGACGCCCGCAGGCCCTGGGGTTTTTTTGTGCCTGTGAGGCCCAAGCCTCCTCGGCCGGAAGGGGCTGGGAGCTGCTCTTCTGACCTCAGGTGGACCCAGTGCTGCGAACCCGCGCAGCCTGGGAAAGGCCCGTGATCCCCGCGATTGGGATGCACATCACGGGTGCGCGGCAGCCCGGCTCCTGCAGGAATTAGACACGGCGTGGGCGTCCCCAGTGCCGGGTGGCGGCCGACCTGGGGCAGGCACGCTCGGCAGCCGCATCCCCCGTCGCACCCCAGTACTTCGCTCCCGCAGTGGGTTCTGCGCCTCCCCTTTGTCTGCGCCCGCCGCCCCCAGCCGGTGCCCGCGCGCCGGGCCGTGCGCCCTCCGCGGCCGCGGGAACAATGCGGGCTATGCAAATGCCCAACGGCCGTGAGAACTCTGGCCGCCGCCGGGCCTCCCCTCCGCGGCTGAAAGGGGCTGGCGGCCCGGCCTGGGGGCGGGGAGCGGCCGCTGCATAGGGATGAGCTGTCCCCGCGCCGCGGACAGAGCGCCATTGTCTGCGCCGCCGCCACTCATCCCGAGGAGTCCCCGGCCCGCACAGAAAGGCAGAGTGACCAGAACCGGGTGGGGCAGGAGCGGTGGTCACCTGGGCCCTCACACCTATGCCTCTGCAGCAGGAGCCTTGGCTTTGTGTGCAGGCTGCTGTGCCTCCGGTAATGGCTACCCTGCTCACTGTCTCTACAAGCCAGTCCGCTCCTGACAGCCTCTGACGCTGGGGCTTCCACCTCGCCCGTGGTGGGTGCGCTCCCCACCTCCCCTGCCTGCTAACAGCTCATGATGTCCTGGGCTGGCTGAGCAAGAAGGCAGAGGTGCTGGTAAAGAGGAACAGGAAGGCTTTCCAAGGCTGGGCCCACTGCTAGCCTTGGAGGCCTGCTCCCAGGGCTTTGGCACAGCCTTCTGCATGGATGGGAGGTCTTCTGTCTTCTCCCCTGTCCTCCTGGCCTCTAGGTGGATCCAGGGGCCACATGCATGACAGCCCCATTCCAAGGTGCAGATGGCCTCTGGGATTGAATCTGGGAGACTTAGATGAGAGGGAAGTTGGGGATAGCAGACCAGGGCTGAGAGATGGAACAGAATTCTGCCTCCTCCCTGGGCCTTTCCACAGTGCCTCACCCAGCCGCTCTTCTATCCAGGTCTCTGGCCCGAGCCAGGATCCCTCCACGGCATTCTGACTGAGGGCTGCCCAGCTCCTGGGAATTCCTCCAGAGACCCCAAAAGGCACCTCTGAAAGAAACAAACGAGTACCCTCACCTCACATCTGCCTGGGCCTGATCCCCACGCGGCACACCCCTCCCTCCCATGGTTCTCTCTGTGAGACAGTTGCAGATGCTCAGCCTTGCTTGAGGTGCATCCTCAGAACTCTGAGGGTTGACCAGAACTCTGCCCTGATGGTGGTCCTCACTTTGGCCTGCACTTCCATGGCCCCATGGGCCTGCTCTGGGCTGCTCTTTGGGTCCCCAGGCAGGACCAAGCAAGCCCCGCTTGGCGGAGGCTGAGAGAGGAAGTGAGCTTTGTTTCCGGCATCCTCTGGGTACTTAAGCTTAATTTCCCCCCCCTGCTCTTCTTGGCAGGAGAGTCTTCAGCTGGAGAAGCCCCTCGCCCCCGTGTCCCCTCCTTCCCTGCTCAGCACCATCCATCTCCGTCTCCCCAGAGCAAGGAATGTGGCTCCAGGACACTGTGGGGCTTGTTCTCAATCCCCTTCTAGCTCATTTCACTCAGGCTTTTACAGACTTGCCTCCATCCCACGGGCTGTCGTCTGGGGTCTGGCTCTAAAGGGACAGACAGAGGCCCCCTCCTCCCCACAATTCCTCACGCTTCATTTTGTCCCAACACCACGGAGGAGGCGGCACTGTGGGGGGTCGAGGAACCCTGGTGTGGGAGCCTGTGTGTGGGGAGGGTCCCCTTCTCTGGTCTCTCCAGCCACCCAGCCTGTCCTTTGCAGCGGCCCCAACACATCCACGGTGTCTGTGTCATTACCCATGCTGCAAGCCATCCATCCCTTCTCTACCCTTCCTGTCCATGCCCCACAAGCCTCGATTATTGGTGGAATTAGCACCGGGCTTCTTGTTGGCAGTTGCTAATTAAGACCATTAATAAACATGATTATTAATCTTGTGCCAGGCGGCAGCCGCCAGTATCTATCACCAGCAGCATTGGCAAGGTGCTGGGCTGGGGTGACTTGTACCGTCTGCATTTGGGGAAGAACAGCTCCATTTTGCCCCTGCCCCCTTGCTGCAGGCCCTGCTGGGTGAGGGTTGAAGGGTGCAGAGCTCAGAGGGCATTTAGCTGGGCTTTCCAGAGAAATGTGGGCACAACCTGTGCTCCAGAGA